ACTACCCACCCCTGGCTACTCCAGCTTTCCTTCCTTCTTATACTGGGGACTGAACCAAGGGGTACTTTACCACTGAGTCACATTCCCAGCCCTTTTTAATAAGTTTTTATTTTGAGACAGTGTCTCACTAAGTTGCTTAGAGCCTTGCTAAATTGCCAAGGCTGGTACTGAACTTGCAATCCTCCTGCCTCAACCTCATGAGCCACTAGGATTGTAAGTGTACACCACTACACCCAGCCCAGTGTTGTTGTTGTTGTTCTTCTTTTCTTTTCTAAAAAATATTTTTAGTTGTAGGTGGACACAATACATTTATTTTTATGCAGTACTGAGGATCGAACCCAGTGCCTCACACATGTGAGGCAAGTGCTCTTTCTACCACCGAGACACAACCCCCAGCCCTCCAGAGTTCTTTTGATTACTGTTAGTATTGTATATCTTTCTTTATCCCTTCACTTTTAATCCAACACATCTGTAATGTTTTCTATTTATTGCCCTTTTTTGTTTTTCTTTTTGTCTTCCCTCACTTTCTGACTTCTGTTTTTTTTTTTTTTAATATTGGGTTGAACCCAGAGGTGCTTAACCACTGAGCTACATCCTCAGCCCTTTTAATTTTTATTTTGAGACAAGATATCACTAAGTATCTTAGGGCCTTGCTAAGTTGCTGAGGTTGGTCTCAAGCTTGCAAGCCTTCTGCTTCAGCTTCCCGAGTTGCTGGGATTATAGGCACGTGCCACCATGCCTAGCTGCCTTCTCTGGTTTTAACTGAGCATTTAACATAATTTGATTTTTTTTCTCCTCTTAGCATGACAATTCTATATCTTTAACAAAATTTTTTAGTGGTTGCAATATACATTTACAACTAAAGAACACTTTGATGGACCTTTATTTTATTTATTTGTATGTGGTGCTGAGAATCAACCCCAGTGCTTCACACATGCTAGACAAGCACTCTGCCACTGAGCTAGAACCCCAGCCCCACGTATGAGTACCTTTTAATAGGGTATTCCCTATTATTATTTTGAATGAACTGCTATGTTAGTTCTCTTCAGGACAGAAAAATAAATAAATAAATGATTTGACTTCATCTGATTCTCTTCCTTTCTTCATGTGGATCTAAATTCCTAGCCTATGTTATTTTCCTTTTCTCTGGAGAACCTGACAATTTCTTATAAAGCAAATCCTATTGATATTAAATTCCCTCAACTGCTGTTTGTCTGAGAAAGCCTTTATTTTGTCTTCACTTCTGAAGGATAATTTCACAAAACATAGAATCTAGGTTGGTGGATTTTTCTTTCCATGCTTAAAATATTTGATTCACCCTCTTCTTGCTTACGTGATTTATGAAAAGAAGCAGAATATAATTCTTTTATTTATTTATTATTTATATATCACAGCGAAATGCATTACAATTCTTATTTCATATATAGAGCACAATTTTTCATATCTCTGGTTGTATACACAGTATATTCACACCAATTCATGTCTTTATACCTGTACTTTGGATAATAATGATCATTACATTCCACCATGATTAATAATGCCATGCCCCTTCCCCTCCCACCCCTCTGCCCTATCTAGAGTTCTCTATTCCTGCCATGCTCCCGCTCCCTATCCCACTATGAATCAGCCTCCTCGTATCAAAGAAAACATCCGGCATTTGTTTTTTTGGGATTGGCTAACTTCACTTAGCATTATTCACTTGAACTCCATCCATTTACCTGCAAATGCCATGATTTTATTATCTTTTATTGCTGAGTAATATTCCATTGTGTATATATGCCACATTTTTTAAAATCCATTCATCTATTGAAGGGCATCTAGGTTGGTTCCACAGTTTAGCTACTGTGAATTGTGTTGCTATAAACATTGATGTGGCTATGTCCCTGTAGTATGCTGTTTTTAAGTCCTTTGGGTATAGACAGAGGAGAGGAATAGCTGGGTCAAATGGTGGTTCCATTCCCAATTTTCCAAGAAATCTCCATACTGCTTTCCATATTGGCTGCACCAATTTACAGTCCTGACGGATATAATTCTTAACTTTATTTCTCTCTAGGTAAAGTGTTTTATTCCCTGCTGACTTCTTTCAATACATTTTATTTTCCTTTAATTTTCTGCAGTTTAATATGCCCAGGTATTTTTTGATATTCATTCTGCTTGGAGTTTGGTAAGCTTTTTGACTCTGTGGTTTACTGTTTGTTGATTATTATTATTTCCATATGCCTTCTATTCTTTTTCCTCTTTCTTCTGGTATTCCCATTATGTCGTACCTTTTGAAATCATCCATAGTTCTTGAAATTTCTGTTTTTCCTCTTTGCTTTTCAAGTTGGGAAGCTTCAACTGACATATCTTCACGCTCACAGATTCATTCCTCATCCATTGATTATACTGATGAGCCAAAGACATCCTTCATTCCTGTTATAGTTTTTGATTTCCAACACTTCTTTCTGATTTGTTCTGTTTATTCCTCTCTGCTTACCTTACAGTGTTGGTCATTTTTCCATTACTGTGTTAAAAATAACCTGACACAATCAACTTATAAAGGGAAAGGTTTATTTTGGCTCACAGTTTGGAGGTTTCAACCCATGATCAATTTGGTCTCATTTCTTTCAGGTTTGTAGTAAGGCAGAACATCACGGCTGGAAATACACAATGGTGCTTCCAAAGCTGCTTAATGGTGACAGAAAGTGAAGAGATAAAGAAGAGGGGCCAGGGTCCCAATATCCTCTTCAAGGGCATGTCCCCAATAGCCTAACTTCCTTCCACTAGACCCTACCTCCTAAAGGTTCTACCACCTTCTAACAGTGCCTGAAACACATGTGCCTTTGGGGGACATTCAAGATCTGTTTTTGAACACTGTGCACTTTTTTCATTAGAGCCCTTAATATATTAATCACAGTTATTTTAGATTCCTGGTCTGATAATTCCAAAATGTCAGTTGCATTTTCATCTGGCACTGATGTTTGCCTTGTCCTTTGTGTACTTTTTATCTTTCAGCAAGGTTTGTGACTTTTTCATTGGGTCGGTCAGACATGGTGCATTGGGTAAAAATTACTGAGGTAGAAAGACTTTTGTTTATCTGGCTAGGATTAGATTATTTTTACTGTTTGCTGTATTTACATATAGGGCTCCACTGATGTGGTGGTAAGGTGTATGGATATGTTATACAGCCTAGATGACCAGCTCTCAGTGTTTTAGTAACTAAAACAGTTTCTATGTAGGCTTTTGTTAAGGAGAATGAAATGCTTTGGGGGAATATTAAAAAATGGCCATTTTCCCCATCCCCTGAAAGAAGGAAGAGAGGTTTTTTTCCCTTGGATTTTTCTTCTGAGAACCTGGTGGGGCTCTCAAAGTAAAACTGAAAAGCATATGGGTATCTTTACAGCTAGGTCTTCAGGAGCTTTTTATCAGTCAAGCTGGTCCACACTCAGTAGTAGTCAGTCAATTACCCTTTAATATTCTTGCCTGACACTGTTGCAATGGTGGGTTCTGGGTGGTTTCTGCTCTAGGCAAACTCTGATTCTCTATATCTGCTTGTCTGTACTATTTACATCAATGTGCCCTCAATTTTCTGACAAATCTGAGGAATTGTTGATTTTCTATTTTTAAGCCTTTTAATAATTTTTTTTTGCTGGGCGGGAAACACAAATGTCTGAGTTCGTCAAGTGTTAGGGAGATTAAACTACTTTTTTTTTTTTTTTTTTGGTACTAGGGATTGAACCCAAGGGCACCTAACCACTGAGCCACATCCCCAACCCGTTTTAAATATTTTATTTAGAGACAGGATCTCACTAAGTTGCTTAGGGTCTCACTAAATTGCTAAGGCTGGTCTTGAACTCATGCTCCTCCTGCCTCAGCCTCTAGAGCTGCTGGAATTACAGGTGTGTACCATTGCGCCCAAAGATTAAACTACTTTTTAAAAGAAATCTTTTCGCATCTCATTATTTACTTAGTGAACTTACTGCACTGATGTAGGTCAATATTTTTTTTTAAAGTTTTTGATATATACTGCTAACCTTCCCTCCAAATAAGCCAGAGTAAAATAACCTAAACACATGTTTACCAACTTATTTTCCTATTCACAAACTTTCATTGTTCCCTCATTGATTCAAGATGAAGTCCACAAATCCCTGCCAAATACACATTGCTCTGAGGATCAGAGAGGATCACTGAAATCTTTGGCCCTTATTTGTTTTTCAGTTTCATCTCTCATTACTGCCAAAAGTAATCCTTTAGTTTCGTGATTGGTAAACTTATTGCCCCTAGCATATATTATGATGTTTTTTCAAATCACCCCAAAGTATTTATAATGTCTTTCTAAGTCCTCTTTATCTTTTCCAATTTGATCTATACTTCTCTGACTGCTCATCTTGCCCTCACCCATTTCAGTTGTTGCATAGATACCTATTTATAGGGAGTACTACAGAGCACCTTGAAAAGTTTTCCATAGACTACTTCTGCAACATATGTGCACAAATCTGTTCTCTACAAAGTGAAAGGGATTAGTTTAGACACAGAATTAAGAATTTGATACCACTTGGAATAACTGAGTTTGTTGTTTATGAAATAAAATTATACAATTAAAGGTTTTGAATTTTTAATTCCCATTATATTTCTTCAAGATTTTCTACCCATATCATAATAACTTAATGACTCCATTAAGTGGTTCTCCTAACATCTCTAATCTATTTTTATTTCTTTTTGCCAATTTAAAACATAAATACCACCAAAACTAATAACTAATGGATGTTAATTATTAAGAATAAATTTAGGGGCTTTTAAAAACTTATGTATTTTTTTCTCCATAGAAAAACCCATAGACAAAACAACATTTCTAAGATAGATAAATATAAACATTTGCACTTGAAAAATCCATAATAAGTAAATGCATGGTACAAAGAATGACAATTAAAATAAAGAAAAGCTGTTACCAATTCTGAAAAGCAGGTTTTCTAGCTCTGCGGTTTATTTTTTAAATGTAAAAACAAAAAGCAAAAACTCACGTTCCATTTGCTCAAACATTACTGAAAAGAGGAAGTCTCGTGGTGTCATATAATATTCTCCTTCATGTTCTAGTGAAGAAAACTGCATGAACCGCTGTTTACGAAGAGACAGTTTTTCTATTGCTCCACAGTCAACATTTTTCTAAAGGAAAAAAAAAAAAAAATTTTTTAAAATTTTTTTTTTTTTTTTAGTAAAAAGAAGTAATTCAGTTACTTCTAGAATAATCTTTACAGAGTAATTTTCATGTGTAGGTTTGACAACCCCCAAACCTTTAAATCATTCATTTAACAAATACTAAGTGCCTACTTTGTACTGTTTTAGGCACTGGAGGTAGAACAGTGAACAGACTAATTTAAGGGAAGTTACATTACAGAAAGGGAGAATGACAGGGAATAAATGCAAAAAATAATGTTAAGATGGTGAAAAGTGATATGAAGAAACAGAGAGGAAAAGTAGGTGTAAAGGTAATACTTTAGATAGAAGCTCTTTCTGAAGTGATGGACATTTAAAGAGGCTAAATGATGTGGGATTCGTGAATCATGAGTTTCATGGGTCTCTTTTGAGGGAGAACATTCTAAGCAAAAGTCCACGAGGTAGGCATATACTTGGTGTGCTCAAGAAATAGCAGGGGGACCAATGTTACCAGAGGAAAAAAGGGAGTGGCAAAAGGTAAGTTCAGAGAAATAGTAAGGCAACAGATCATGTAAAGTTGTGTTTTCATAAGGAAAAACTATATCATTTGTAATAAACAACTCTGCTTTCAGAAATACAAGGGAAAAATCGTACACAGAAAATGCTAGAAGAACAAAGATGTATAAAATATTGTTAGTGTTAGTCTATCTGAGGCAACAGGACATAGATCTTGACCAACTGCTGAAAAGAACAATAATGAAATCTTTCTTGCTAACCTTTCATTGAGTACTTATTACGTGCTAGGCACTTTTACTAATTTAGCATTTTATACAGATTATTAGTTAATCTTCATAATAACTCTGACAATAGATGTATAGTAGATATGGAAACTGATACAGTAGATATAGCAGAGCCATGCTAAAATATCAGGTCTGTTTGACTCAAAGGGGTTTCAATCTCTTGAAACACCACACTATCCTCCCAAACATGACTGGGCACTGTGGCTAGGCAGACTGGAGGAAGATGATACAGCAGTTAACATGGATACCAATGTCAGTGCAGGAATCCTGACACAAGAGTGTATTATGAAATGTCTGAAATCCAAAAGCAGACTTTCATCATGGGTTGCTTTCCTAAGGCGCAATGCTTGCTCTTAATTGGACCACACATTCTTCCTGGACCTACTTCTCACACTTAGTACTAATCCTATGATCTACCCTGACACATGCAATGTTTAGTGATTGCTAATTAAATAAAATTGAGAAAAAGATGAATTTCAGTTGCGTAAAGCTCTTCAAATTCAAAGCCATCAACAGCTCCTTTTGGGCTGATCTAAGTCTTTTAATATTAATTCTCTTCTGAATTAGACAATAGGTTGGCAGTCTTTTTTTAATACCTTTTTGCATTCTGTGAATACATATTCTCTACCAGGATACAGGACAAATACAGGTTATTTGGTAATATTGCAAAGATCTGTACCCAAATTCAAAATCTTTAGCCTTTGTTTCTTTTTCCCCTTAAATTTATTATAAAACGTCTAGAGGATGTGACTCAGTGGTTAAGTGCCCCTGATCAATTCCCTGTTCCCTTGGGGGGAAAAATTCATTAGAAAACAACTAAAGAGGCACGTTTTAATTATAAGAGTCGATACTCATCCCAACAATTGGAAAACTGAATTTTATTAATATTTTCTGAATATTTTCCACATGAGGCAGATATGTACATAGTAAAAATTGATATCTGCACAAAGAAACAGAAGATTGTATTTTAACAAACCATTATTAAGCATCTGCAGAATAACAATGGTAAATAAGACAAAAATTAATTCCTATGAGAAAGTACTTAGTGCTTTAGCAGTGAATTTACAGAACGTATATGGCTAAGATAGCGAAGAAAGAGTGGGTTAGAGTGTTTTCAGTAAAGGTCATAGAATGTGCAAAGTCCTAGATATTAGAAAAAATTAAAGAGGATGAACATGGGCATTATTATATGAACATTATTAGCTTAGAGACTGTTTATATTTATTATACTAATGTTAATATACAGTCTATTAAGAGATTAACAAAATTGAAAATCTATGCAGAAAAAGCATTCTCAAATTCTTAAAGGTTGGCTCTTATATACTTTCTAATGTTGAAGTTCAAGACTTAGAAAAAAAAAAAAACAACAAAAAAACAAGAACGGAATTCTTTCTGTATAAATAAATTCTTCTTTCCAAACCTCAACCAACTAAAGGGATCAACTACTCATTTGAGACCCCTCTTTTAGTGGTCTCATAACAAGATGAATCACTGACTCTGTTTTTTTTTTTTTTGTTGTTGTTGTTTGGTTTTCATGCGGTCCTCTACCTTGTACTAATATTACTCTTTCCTGGTCTTAATATTCACCCCCACCAACAAGTAAATACGCAAATCTCTCATCTCTCATTTTTGAAAAAAACCTAACATTAATTAATTAATTTAATGTAGTGCTGAAGATTGAACCCATGGGCAAGTGCTTTACCACTGAGCGACAACCCCAGCCCCCTCTCATTCTCTTAAACCAAGACATAAAAATTGTTTTCTTTCTTTTCAAAAATTAATATAAAGTAGATCAAAGAAGTTATCATAAAAGCTAAAAGTATAGAACTGAAGAAGAAAACAGGGGAAAGCTTTATGACACTGCATTAAAACATTTTAAAATTAATACATGTTAACTGTACATACTCACAGATATACCATTTTATTTAACAAATTTGCATTTCACATATGAATTCAGAGTACACTGATTGCATCCAGCCTCTCCCTGCCAGCACAATCTCCAGTAATCACTATTTTATCTTTAAGACAACTTTTTTTGGTTTCCATATGAGAGAGAACACAAAATCCTTGTCTTTCTGTGTCTGACTTACTTCATTTAACATAATATTCTCTAGTTCTATCCATTTTGCTACAAATGACAAGATTTCATTTTTCTTTATAACTGAATACTACTCAATTATATGTATGTATATATACAGATGTATCTATCTACATATATGTGTATATAGATGTCACATATAAAAACTATTCTGAAAGAAATCCTTTTATTTCCTTCTAGAAGGTTTAGGCCCTAAAAATTCCTCTATCTCCTGTTATTTCCTATATGCCTATATGTAGACTATTTGTAACTCACTTAGGATTATATTCTTGAGGAGTCATGAAAAGAGTAAACTGTTCAGCAAAGTGTCATTTTATTGATTTAGATGATTGGGTGGTATGTCATCCTTTTCAGTTTCTTCTCTAGTGAACAAGAGAAGGTGGAGAAGGTGAAATTAAAGCTCTCTTTCACTGGTTAATTTCTAAGACGAATCCTGTCAGAATTGAAGACCATGAATTTGTAGTCTGCATCTACTATACCATTAGTAGATGGTATGGTATAAAACCTTAACTTCAACCCTTCTACCAGCACTCTCTCAATTCCATTTAATACGGCAGCTTTTAATTCCTCCTGCTCCCTGGTATAAACAAACCTTTTCTACTACCTTAAAACCTTCTGACTTTCATTGCCAGCACCAATAATACCTCACCTTTTCCTAATCCTCTCCACTGTTCCTCACACTCTTATTACTGAATACAAAATAATCCCTCAGAGGTTATTACCATAGTTGATTTTAATCATACCACTTCCCTTATGAAATATGTAGTAGATGCCTCATGTCACCATACTACCTTTCCCTCTTTAACCTCCATCCTCAGTAGTAAAACGTGTGTACTTAACTATTTACAAATTTCAGAACACTCTAGGCAGAGACAAAACATATGAATTAAGGAGGCAACTGTATAGTAGTAAATACACACAGTAATAGGTAATGTTTATTAAGTATATAGTATACATAATACAAATTTCTAACAGCTGTATACAAATGTTCTCAATCTTCACAATGGCCCTAGGAGCAGACACTGTTTTTATCAACATCATTTTATAAAGATTATTAAGGTCAACTAGCTTGCCAGATTAACATAGCAAGTAACGACACCAAACCAAATGACAGAACAGGTAGTATAACATTAACCCCAGACTCATCCACTTCTTACCCTAGTGTTTCTAAGAAAGATGTAAATTCGAAAAATAGAAAAAGCAGTGTGGGTATTGACAGTTGAGGATGTTTTCGTGAAAATAGTAGGATTTAAGCTAGACTCTAGAGAATAAATAACAAAGAGTAGAACCAGAATTAACTATTATTTAGGTCCTGGACTAAGTGTTGTCCATTTCCTAAACAGTATGCATTATTTCTCCCATACAAATTTAGGGTAAGTAGGATGTTCTGAATGTGTTTCTTTGCCACCACAACAAAATTTATGTAGAGGAAAAAAGCATTGTTCTGAAATTACCAAAACCTTTCTAATTCCAGGCTGATGAACCAACATAGTTTTATTTGGGTCATCTTTATCACACAGAACTTGAATTTTAAAAGTGTATATTAAAGGACAATAAGAATAGTCAATATGTATTTATATATTTATGCTTATCACATACCTATGGTTCATAGAATTTGGCAAATTAATTTGCCAATGATATTTAAAATCCTTTGTAGGCCTTATCTTGCTTTACTTCATTTTAATAACCATTTTTATCAAATCTTAGATATACTAGATGAATCTAATGGTCAAGAATGCAATAACCCTGATATTATTCCTTAAAGGAAAAAAAGATGCTGTATTATATCATCTCTAGGAATGTACTGTAATAAAAACCAAGTCATTTTTGTCTAATTTTTCAAATAGACTGTAAACCCTTAGAGCATACATTACATTTTGGTTTCACCATACTGTGCTTTGCACACAATGGAGTGTAAGTGATACTAACATGGGATTTCAAGAGTTAAAAGGGACGAGATCATCTACTCAATAGCTCTAGGCAAAGGACCAGAAGTCAGCTGAGTTCCACTCTATGCTTGAGTTAACTAGTTTACAACAAGTGGCTATGTCCAAATGCTGCGAATTTATGGCACACAGTAATGAATGCAAAATTAAAAAGCATAGTTTACA